TGGGGAAGACTGTAGGGTCTTAGTATTTTTATACCAGGGGCTTCCAGGTTGGGGAAGACTGTAGGGTCTTAGTATTTTTATACCAGGGGCTTCCACGTTGGGTCCAGGAAGAAGACTGAAGCTAGAAGGAAATGAAAATGTCCAAATGATCGCATTGGTAAACCGAAGGTCACATTCGCTTTTCCGCCTGAATTACACCAACTTGGTATTTGGCTGCTGGAGGCCTTTGATGAAGTGAGAATGGGGAAGACACAGTTATTTCTTCCTATTTAACATGGAGTTCTATAGATAACATAGCTGCTATAGCTAATCATTCTAAGACTGCAGAGTGTGGAGCGCGAGCGTGAGAGCGAGAGCGAGAGCGAGAGCGAGAGCGAGAGCGAGAGCGAGAGAGAGAGAGAGAGAGAGAGAGAGAGAAAGGAAACATTTTCAGTGTCTAGGTCTCTCCTCTCAGTCCTCAACCCACAAGGCAGGGCGGGTCATTAGGAAGCCTTGTTCCTCTCCCACCATTCTCAAGGGTCATTCTCAAGGGTCATCTCCCTCACCCGAGGCAGGACCTGGCTCGGTGTAATCAGCAGGAACCTTCTTTCTTTCCGGCTCCTCAGGGGCAGTAGGTGTTCCAGGCTGACCGACTGACCCTTTGTCCGAGGTGATCAGCAGAGAGTGGTGGGAGTGGAGGCCTGGGGAGGGAGCCTAGGACCCTGATCAGGTTTCCAGGGTGCTCTTCGGAAGGGGATCTCACCTATCCTGCCTCCAGGCAGGCAGGTGAGAGGAGCTTGCCCTACTTGTGGGTGCAGGAGGTGGATTGTCGGGTGCTGGGATGGTGGCCCTGGAGAGAACGTCTCCCTCCCTACATGGCCTGGGGTCCAACAGCTGACCAGGGGGAGCCTTCTTTCTCCTCTTGGCAACTCTTGGAACATTTCTCTTGGAGAGATGCCCAACACATTCCCAACGCCTTGGGGTGGCGGTCTTGCGGGGAACCCTGTAAGGGGGTGCCAGGCATCAGGAAGAGGACAGGACAGGGGGTTATCAAAGGAGGAGGTACACATTTGCCAACTCATAGTTTGTGGATGAAGGATTGTAGGACCAAGTTCAAGTTCTAAGTGGTTCTCAATTGGCTGGTAAAAGGGATGCATGTGATCCCTAAAAGGACTCCTGGTGTCATCGTGAGTGATGAGTTGGCCTTCTAACTGCAAGGTCAGCAGTTCAAAACCACCAGCTGCTCTGTGAGAGCAACATGAGGCTTTCTACTTCTGTAAGGAGTTAAGAGTCTGGGAAACCCACAGGGGCAGTGCTACCCTGTCCTGTTGGGTTGTGTGCATCACAGTTGACGGAATGGCATTAAGTGTGATTTTTTGAGCTTCCTGGACATTCAGGAAACCAGGCTGTAAAACCCACCAAACAATACTGCTTTTTGGGGACTGAGGAAATAGGTTGTTCTGTCCCCTCAATTTACCTGGGGGTGGGTCTCCAAACCCCAGTCCTTATTGTTCAGTTGACAAGAGTCTTGCTTTTTTTTTTTTTTTTAATTTATTTAAGATCATTTTATTGGGGGCTCTTACAGCTTTTTTTAAAAAAAAAATCATTTTATTAGGGGCTCATAGAACTCTTATCACAATCCATACACACATCAATTGTGTAAAGCGCATTTGTACATTCATTGCCCTCATCATTCTCAAAACATTTTCTCTCCACTTAAACCCCCGGCATTAGGTCCTCATTTTTCCCCTCCCTCCCTGCTC